TTCTGTTGCTCTAAATTCCTGCTGTCTCCAGTATCTCTGTACTTGGGCCTGAATAAAGGATAGCTTCACTGTTCTATCATGATATCATGATAATGTCACCCTCTGTGTCACATCCAACCTTGGGTGCATTGGTGAGGGGCGGCTCTGGTGATAAGATTGTAGTAGGGGGCAGCTAGCATTGTCCTTAGCTCTCTAAGGCTGTCTACCTTGTCCATGAGATAGTGCTGCTTGCTGGGGGCAGGGCTGCTTGTTTGAAGCAGAGCTGCTTGCTTAGAGCAGGGCTGCTTGCTAGGGGAAATTTCCTGGTTGCTAGGGAAGGCGTCTTAGCAACAGTGAATTTCCAAGGGCTGGCAGCTCTGGCCCTCATGGGTCTCTGCATGCTGGAGTGGGAGGGAATAGCAGGTCTCTTCTCCTGCAGTGCACTTGTGCTTCGTATGGAAAAGAGCCTGGGTGGTGTTTACATAGAGAGGGGGCTGGCAGAGGAGGGAACTGCAAGTCCTATGAGAGGGTCTTACACACCCCTGCTTACAAACAACACCTAAGCCCTCCACCCATGCTCATGCAGAGCCACTCTAAGAAATAGGTATGTGGTATCCCCATATGATGGGAGCCTAGTCATTCCTGGAGTGATCCTGAAATATAATGCAACAGAATTTCAAGACAAGTCCCTAGGAAAGTTATAGTGTATGTCACTTTAAGGTCACATTGTAGAGGAAGCCCAGTTAGAGACCACAACATTGTCAGGTCAGTAGGGTAATGGTGGTCCCTTCACTCCTAGAGTAATGGGTGAGTAAGATACAGAGGGGCCTTCTCACAGCACTCTGAATTGCTCCCTTATTGGTTGGGGAACTGGATCTCACTTGCTCAGAGGGTGGTACCCTGAGTCTTCATGACTTGGTGATTTTATTGTCTCTCCTTGCTTTGAGGACAGCATCTCTCTACAGAAGCCACTTACACAGCATGATGACCTCTTCCCTCCTGCTACACTCTTCTTTCCTTATGATTCTCTCTCATGAAGATAGAAGACGTCATGAAATGTTTATTGAGTTTTCTATCAATATCTTTCCTGCACCTCCTCAGAAAGATCTTAATTTGGGGACTATGGCATTGGCAGTTGGAGACAGGGAGGATTTTTAGACATAGCCAAATGGCTGGAATATGTGTGTGTGTGTGTATACATACATGTGTGTGTGTGTGTGTGTGTGTGTGTGTGTGTGTGTGTGTGTGTGTGTGTGTGGTCCTTATCATGGGACCCTATTGCCTGTCCCTAAGTATCTGTCAGGACTGGGTCCTATACACAATGCTTTTCCAAGGGCATCTTTAGGACCTTAGGGAGGGTAATTGGGTATAAGTATGAGAAACAATATATTATCATTCCTGGGCGAAATACATACACAGCCTTTGTATGTAGCAGAGATTGTGGGCTGCAAACGGGAACAGGTCTCTTAAGCCCCGAGGGAAATCCTTTGATGTACATATAATCAGCCCAAGTCATCACAGCTCAGAGGAAAGCAGAATCCTTCGCAAACTCTTCCCCAATTTATCTCAGACTGCACATTCCAATATTTTTTATGCTGGTAGTGGGGCATGTACTTAGGGCCTGGGTGCTTTTTATGGCTTTTTCACCCAAGGCTAGTGTTCTACCATTTGAGCCACTGCTCTACTTCTGGATTTTTGGTGGTTAACTGGAGATAAGAGTCTCATGGACTTTCCTGCCAAGTCTGGCTCTGAACTGCTATCCTTAGATCTCAGACTCCTGAGTAGCTAGTCTTACAGGAATAAGTTGCTGGTGCCTGGCACATTCATGTGTTCTGATCCCCTGACACCACCAGCCATTCCTTCATTATCAATAGAAGAATGTGAAGCTTGGGGACTCTCAGTGTAATCTTGTCTGGACTATACACATTCTAGGGAGGCCTTGAGGAAACTGGATCCTGATCCCATGACTCTCTCTGGATGGAAGGATGTTCCTAAGATCTGCAAGCACATTTGTGAAACAGGTGTACCAACCTGTATAGATCCAAGGTAACTCTAGGCCAATTGGTAAGGTAATGGTAGCCACCAGGGATAATATACACCTAATGCAAGGAATCATGCATGCTGGTTTTTTCAAAGTCATATGGCACTGGCCATGGTAATTGGGTAGTTGTGATTTCCTCAGATCTCTCTCTAAAGGCCTTTGGAGCATCCTGAGTCATCCAAATGGGGCTGGGGCTCCTCTGCCTGCCTACTAGGGCTGAATCTGGCCACTTCAGTATTTATTACACAGACTACCACATCTGGATGATTTCCTTATATGAAAGTTCCAACTACACCCAGATGTGAGATCCTTCATACATTCTAACACTCAGGCCTGTTTCTTTGTTTTGTTTTTTATAAACCTCACTGAGGCTCAGCTCAATTGTTTCAGCTCTAGTGAGCAGACACTTACCCCCTCTTTAATGATGATGAGTGAAAGGTTACCAAGGAATGCAGTGTAATAATACAGGAACCCAAGTCTAAGATAGCTACCACACCTGCCTCATGTAGTCTTCTCTCTGACTCATCCAAGAGCCAAGACTGGTTGTTTTCCAAATGGTTGAATCCCTCTATGTTCTCTCTCAGCCTCGAAGTCCACCAACTGAGGAGCCTGGCTCCTATACATGTTCTTATTCTTATGTTTTCTCTGTCTAGTTTTCTGAAAACTTAACCTTCCCATTTTATGGAAGTGCATGAATGTCCCCATATACCCAAAATTCCCTGCCTCAGGGCCTTTGTACTTTTCACTCCTCCACTGCTTCAGATCTACGGTGACACCTCACTGTAGGAAAGCCTCAGGGCTCACATCCCAGGACAGGATGCCTCTCCTCTAGGCTGCATTACCAGTAATCTGCTTCATACCCTTGTCCTAGCATTAAATACATTGACTGCCATATCTGCCTGATTTCCTTACTTCACAATCCCAACTAGTCCCACATGTGAGGGAAGAATCTGAGGCTGTTATATCCCTGCATATCCAGTGCAAAGTGCAATGCTGCACATAGTATACAGCTATGTGTGTGTGTGTGTGTGTCTGTGTGTGTGTGTCTGTGTGTGTATGTATAGTGTCTGCAGCAAATGTATGTTGAATAAATGAGTCCATGAGCAAAGTGTCTAATTCATTAAATTTTTATTTTCCCCTACATTGCAGGGAACTAAGCAATTACAGGTGATTATCAGTTTTGTTTTGTATCTCAGGGAGTGGGCCACACTTTGTTTTATTTTCTTAAATTTGGAGAGGAATCATTATGGTGTAAACTTCAAGCTTTCAAAGAGCAGCTTATATCAATACTCTATTTCAGACCTAAAATAATAGAATGTTGCTATTTTTTTAATGAAAAAGGCAAACCTTTCCTAAACTGAAAGAAAAAACTACAAAACATTTGACCGCTATTCAGAAATGCTGATACTTAAATACTTAAGCAGATGTCTAGACAACCAATGACTTGAAAGCGTAGTTAGATATAACTTACTTCAACTTTGATCTAACACTGCTCTCATTTACGTTTCTGTTTTGCTGTGCTAGTGGCCAAACCCAGGGCTGTGCGCAGACTAGGAACTTGGTATACCACTTAGCTACACTTCTCATCCTTTGGGGTTTAATTTTAAGCAGTTTATGCCCATAGCTCATTTCTTAATAGAAAAAAGTTACCTAAAGCCAGCACAACTTTGCAATGTACCCACTGCCAGTGAGATCACCAAGAAGCACAAAGAAACTGGAATATGAATGCCAGTGGCCATCTCTTCTCACTCACCTCACTCTGCCTTTGGACTCTTCATAAATCAGAGCCCCAGTGCCCATTGCTCCAGGGCCCCTTTGTCTATGCACAACCATACCAATGCAGACTCAGCCTGGGCTTTCCCTAGTGGCAGCAAAACCATGATGCTAGTCTAAGAAAAACCAGCCCTGGCATCAGCCAGGTACTGACCATTCCATTGCTTCAGTCATGGCTCTAGCCCTAGCCCTGGCATGAGTACTGATGCTGATGGCCTAGGCTTCAGCCATGGCCTAGGCTCTGACACTGGCCCTAATACTGGCACTTGTCACATCACCACCAGCAGCTGTGGTTTGGGGCAGCTGGTATTTCCTCCTCTTCTGTCAATGCCTCATTTATTGCCATGGAAAGGATCTGTGATGGGTGTCATTCACTTTGGCCACAAACTCCAGGGCTTCCATCTGTCTTGTTTCCTTTGAGAGCCCAACAAGATTACTGAGAGATAGGGGGTTACTGTTAGACACCTACATGTGCACCAGATGTTTGTGCTGCACACAAGCTTTAGTGCTGAGCTTTGGCGACGGCTCCCCACAGGCGAAACACTTTTTAGATGAATACACCTGCAACACCCTCCACACATCCCAGAACACCTCCTTGGGGACACTGCTGGCCTGCACGAAGATCCAGAGTCATCATCAGAAGCCCAGTCTTTGGTGTGCTCTGGTGGCCTGTCAGGCCTCAGAGCAGGGCAGGATGTATTTTTCTGATTGGGAGATAGGAGTGCTTTGCAGGACCAATTTCCTTCACCTAGGACCCAAAGACTAATTTAAGCAGATAGGTCAGAGGCTCTCTTTGAAATGTCAGGGAAGAAGCTCCTGAACCTTTTGACGACATACTTCAGCATGCCTGCCCTTTGGCTGGGTATGGTCTTCGCGTTCTTAACCAGCAGGTACTGCACCATCACCAGCAGCTCAGCTACTTTCTAGTTCCCAGGGTCTCTGGGCATGCGCGCCACAGAGGTTGGGGCCCGCGGGGTACACGGCGCGGGGACCCTCTAGGGACTTGGGGGTCCACAAAAGAACTTGCAGAAGCGCCTGGGCGGGGGCTATCTGCCTCAGAAGAAGTGCTCTTGGCGGAGAGGGGTTGGGGAGCACTTGGCGTCCCCGCTGCAGGCGCCTGCTTGGGGATTTCTTGGGCAAGGAGGAGGCCAGGGGGCCTCTGAGCCCCGCAGGCCCCGGGAGTCACCTCTACCGCGGACGTTCTCACCTGCGGCTTTGGCTGGCCCAGGAAGCAGGAACTCTGGGAAGAGATGCGCGTCCACGGGCATTCGGCGGCCGGCTGGAGCCCTGTGTGCGAGGCCGCGAGGGCAGTGACGTCGCCACGGGCGCTGCTGCCGCAGCTGCTGAGAAGACGCGCAGTCCCAGGGTCTGGAGTCGGAGACCACCGCCCCCAGACCCACAGGACCGGATGCCAGTTGCCAACCGGAGGGGAGCAGAGTGGAGGGGAGGGAAGGGGAAGGGGCAAAGCCTGTGCAGCCGGGGTCTTCTCCAAGCTGTGGGAACGCGCGGGCGCTGCCTCTCACTGCTTCTGCCGGCCACGGACGGTACTGCAGGCTGGAAGCCCAAGGATGGAGGCGAGGGAGGGTGGGGGGAGAGGTCGGGGAGAGGGAAATACTGCTGCTGGGGGTGGGGCCTAGGATACCAGGCTTAGAAGCCTCCAGAAACCTGAAGGCCACGCCCAAAGTCAACCCTTAATGTCTGGTTTATAATACTTTCCTACACCAGTTTTTTGTGTCCTACCACACATTTCTGAAATTTTCAAGCAATTTCTAGTCTACTGTTTCAGGGCATTCGCATCACTTCTATCCATCTAAATGCCATTGCTGCAATTCTATTATACAGACTTCAGCATTGTTTTTGTTGTTTGGCTGGAATGAGTTTCTCCCTCATTATTCTTCCTTTTTAAGAATTCTTCAAACATTTAAAAAAATGTTCCCTAGCTGAGTTACAGGGGTTCACTCCTGTAATTCTATCTAGTCAGGAGACTGAAATCTAAGTATCACGGTTCAAACCCAGCCTGGGCAGGAAAGTCTGTAACATTCTTATCTCCCAATTAACTACTAAAAATCTGGAAGTGGAGCTGTGGCTCAAGTGGTAGAGTGCTAGCCTCGAGGAACAGAAAGCTCAGGAACAGCACCCAGGACCTGATTTCAATCCCTAAGACTGATAAAAAAAAATTCCTCTATATGAAAGCCACAATAAAAATTTTAAGCTAAAACAAGAAAAACCCTTGCTTGAATTTTAACTAGAATTGCTTTAGGATGCCCACCTTACTATGAGGAGAATTAACATCTTTAAAGTATGGAGGTTTCTTATTTAAAATATATCATCTGTTCTTCTATTGATTTTGGTTTGTAAAGAATATTATTTGTAAGTTCCCTTCTATAGCTCTTGTATATTTGTTTGCAATGGATATTTGTGTTACTTCTATAAACTGGGTATTTCTCCATTGTATCTTCTAATTATTTCTGATCTACACAAAGCCTACTGCATTCATATGTTTTTAAAGTGTCTGAGTGGCTGAATAATAACTCAATAACTCAATTTGAATATGTTTTCAGTAGATTCCTTTGTATATTTTATGTGAACAATCACATTGCATATTGCAATGATAGCACTCACTTTTTCTTATGCCATGGCGTAGGACCATAGTGCCATGTAAACTAATATAAGCAGGTGAAAATTACGTTTATGTGCTTGTTTTTTGGAGAAAAGACTTTATCAGTTTTGAGTAAATAGAATATGTTGTTGGTTTCTGATGCTGGTTGGGCCAGATAACTTACTGCAAAAGAAATCCCTTTTTGCCCAGCGTTACTGCATTAGAGCTGATTTTCTATGCCTGAGAACCAAATCTGAGGCTTAGACAATACAGAAAACCAGAGTGACTGTCAAAGGCTCAACAGGACAATGCTTCCTTCTAGCAATAGTCTCCCAGTTAATGTTATTCACTGTAGGAGGTCAGAGGTCAGCACAGACTAGCTGCAGCTGTCCCTCAGGCTGTGCTCATCTTCCCCTGGAGCATCCTCCAGGGGCAGCCTCACTACCTCCACCCTCCCCTCACCCTAAAGTGGTGGTCTCTTCTGCAGAGAAACTCAAGCTCCTGTTCCCTGACAAATTTCTTTAGCTGGTACCCCTCCTCCACCATGTTCTTTTGGAGGGCACACAGTCTTCAAAGAACTCTGATGCTCAGCTTCAAATGGACAGTGTCCTCTCTTACTCCTTATCATTTTTTTTCCTTTTCATCCAAGATATAGAAGTGGACTTTTTGTGCCCACACTGCAGGACTTTTAAAGTCCTTGTTCATTTATTTTGGCGGTTGTCTGCCTTGTCTTCCTAAAGTTCTTCAAGGCTCTCCATCTAAGGAAACAGACTGGTTTCTCCCCCACCTCTACCCTGTGTGTATATGAGTTCTGGGGATTGAACTCAGGGCTATGTACTATTCCTGAACTTTTCTGCTTCACACATGCAATCTACCACTTGAGCTTCTGGCTTTTTTGGTGATTCGTTTGAGAAAAGAGTCTCAAGGGCTTTTCCTTCCCCAGGCTAGCTTCAAACTGCCATCTTCAGATCTCAACCTACTGAGTAGCTAAGATTATAGCCATAAGCCACTAGTGCTCAGCTTCAGCATGGTTTCTGTCTTCAGACTGTACCATGACCCCATACCAGTTATTAAGCTAGAGATAGTTTCCTTTGAATTGAAACTCAAGATTTTTTTTCAGTTTAAGAATACATTTTACAGGGCTGGGAAGGTGGCTCAGTGGTAGAGCGCTTGCCTTGTATGCCTGAGGCCTTGGATTCAATTCCTCAGCACCACATAAGCAAAAAGAAAAAAGCCGGAAGTGGCACTGTGGCTCAAGTGGTAGAGCGATAGCCTTGAGCTGAAGAGCTGAGGGACAGCGCCCAGGCCCAGAGTTCAGGCCCCACGACCGGACCTTCTCCCCCCAAAAGAATACATTTTACATTTCATGTAAAGGAATTTAAAAAAACTATCCTTTAAACCATGCCACGTTTCTCACCCATAATGGCTTTCCAGTTGTGAAGAAGCATTGGAAAAACTCAAGAATCAGGAACAAATAGAGATGCAAGAACAGTATAAACATCTTTAAAACTGTCCTTGATGAAACTTTGGCTGCACATTCATTAAGACAGTGCAAGTATCAAAGAGGTTATTTTATGTTTGAATTTAACAGGCAGTGGGATCTAGGATGATTTCATAGCTGGTACGTAGATATAACTTATGTGGATCCTCTCTTAAGCAGCTATTAAGGACAAAACAGGACATCTGGGAGACCCTGCACTATGGAAGCAGTGGCTTCTTAAAGCTCTGATGTTCCCAACACTCTTCTGCTTCACAACCTCCTACATTTTGCCATATCCTTTGCCCAAGAAAGAACCTGGTGCTAGGCAGGCAGCCATTGATTACCATGTCTTCCTCCTGTGTCTAGTGTCTTGTGCCTCTTGGATGGTATCTCTCTGTTCTCTGAGACCTGTTCCACTTCAAGTACATTACCTAAGCCATCAGCACCACCTGTCCCTCCTGCACTCTGCAGCCAATATACTTCCTGCAATCCTATTCACCCCCTCTCCCTTGGATTCTTGGGGCCCCAAATCACAGCCCCTCCCCAGCAGCTGGAGTCTGTTTCATCTCCAAGAGGACGCTATCAGGACCACTAAATCCTCTCTGAAATGCTGAATATCTCCCAATTCTTCCCAGAACTTTCCAGCCTCTGCCTGTTCCAGCAGGGGCAGACGATCACCTGCAGAAGCCCGTGACACTGCAGCAGCCTGTATGAGCGCCCCTCCTCCCACTCCTGCACCCCAGCGCAGGCCTCATCAGGCTCGTGCATTGTGGGACTATCTCCCCCAACCTTCTCATGCTACTGCCTGCAGGAGGGGGTGGGCAGTCCTCCTGAGTCACAGGCGGCTGTGACGCAGTTCCAGCTGCAGCTTTACAGCTGTGACGCACTGTCTGGTGCCCCCATACCACCCCAGGCCGGCATCCCCCCACCTTCTCATGGTGATGGGGGGGCGTCCCAATCATCCGGAATCACTGGCAGCTGTGACGCAGCTCCACAGCCGTTACTTGACGCACTGTCTGGAGCTCCCACACCATCCCTAGGCTGGTCTGGGGGCAGCAGCTACTTTATTCCTGTACCCGCACCCTGCCCAGCTCCCCCAAGCTGAGCTTTAGCCTTAGAGCTCTTGTGAATTCCTGCTGAGAAATACATTTCCCCTCACCCCCCCCCCCCCCCCCGTGCTGTAGCTCCAGTAAGGCAGGGCTGAGGACATCCCCCTCCAACAGTACTCCCTGACAACGCCCAGCCCCATCCGCTCTGTCTCTCCCTCCCCCTCTGCCTCCCCCCTAAGCCCCCAAGGCCCAGGGCACTTGCCTGTCCCAGCTCCTTCAGGCTGCATGCTGGCACTGCTCCAGAGAGTGCTATCTTGGGCACAGACTCACATGGCCCCCTTGCTCCTCCCCGCCCCACCACTCTCTTGCTCCTCCCCGCCCCCTCTATGTATCTTCAGTGAAATGTCTCTTCAAATAATGTGTGCAGTTTTTAAATTCAGTCGGTTAAAAAAAAAAGAGACCAATTTCACCTTTGTGCCAGAGCAAGGCACAGCTGCCCCCTAGAGGACATCATAGAGGTGAGCCATCCAGCTTAGCCCAGACAGCAGAAATCTTTGAGACAACTGTAGCAGGAGAGATTCCGTGGCTGCACATCCTAGTGGCTCATTGAGACCCTCACCTAGTCCAAAGAGTGATGACAAGCCATAGTTATCCAACTAGGTGCCAATCTACCCTAAGTTCACAACTCCCATATCTAACTAACTCCAGCCTTCTCAAGTGAAGTAGAGATGGGTGGTGGCCTGAACCTGCCCTCACTTGAGAACCCTCAGCCCCTGCTGCCACCTGGCAGGTCTCCATTGCAAACTTCACCACCCTAAATTTCAGTTCAGACACAAAGTATGCCACACCTCAGGTGATCCAAGCTTTTGCCCCATGGCCTGGTTCCTACATCTTGCCCCACTGAGATGGTGAGGTCAGCAACACCCACTACCAGTTGCTGTAGAGTATCTTCCCTAGTTGGAAAGCCTCCAGAATTTTCTGCATGGGTCCCTGCCCACACGGCTTTCCCCAGTCTGTGCCCCTACAGCCAACCCCCATTGTCTTCAGTCAACCAATGATGCCCCAGGCCCTAAGACCAACTTCTACACCAAAAACAATCAGGTTCCTAGCCACCAGTCGTGAGGGGCCACTGCCTGGCTATCACAGAGGGGCTACCCTAGTGATGGGCCAGAGGCTGGATGGCTAGCAGAAAAAGTCCCAATGCTGCAGGCTATGGGTCATGGAATGACCTCAGAGATTTTCAGGTGTTCTGTACAGAGCCACAGCACAAGAGGGTAGAGAGTTGGCCAGTATCTGAAAATGAAACATTTCTTTGGGCTGGTCTGTGACCACAGATGGAGTGGAGTACCCCCAAAGTGTTAGAGCTGTTGCGCTGGACTGGAGTTGGCTACCACCTGCTAGGCTTCTGTGGCCCTGCCCACCACTGGGTGGGGATTCAACCCCATTCAATCCTAGACAACTTTCTAGTTCCTGCTACTTCCTTCTGGTAGCTCCTCCTTGCCCACCTCTCTCAACCCATGCCTTTCCCGAACATGTTGGTTTAGGTCTCCATGTCACAGCCAAGAAGTGGGAAGAACACTGTGAAGGCAAGCCCTGTGTGTGATCGGCCTTGGGCTCCAGATCTTAGCTGCATCTGTGGCTGGTATGTGCCCACAGGCTTTTCCCCAGGGCCACAGACTGTCAGGAAGTCAGACTTGACGTTGGTAGGGAGGCTGCATTGGCCACACAGAAAGGTGGTCTAGCACCCAGCAAGTGTTCCTCAGTGCTGAGCCCTTTACCAGGGATCCCCTGGAGGTGGTTGGGTATAAGACAGAATGTGACTTTTGACCTTGCCATGGACATATATATGGGCCTTGGTTTGTCTTAAGATCTTATGCCTAGAAGTTGCTTGAAGTGGCCCAGCAAGCAGACAAAGGGTCCTAGACTATTTTCTGGCAGGGACCAAGATCAAGGCCCCAGAGTTGGAAAGAGATCAAGGGGATAGCCACCTTAAAAGGACATAGTATTTCCTATTTTACCCCCAACTCTTCACTTATGCCATCACAAGTTTTCCTAGCAGCCTTTGCCACCAATGTACTACACCAGCTATAGCTAGCTGCTGGTTCCAGAGAAATCAAGTTAGTTTCTGTATTTTATGTCTTTCAAAATAAGACTTACATGTGTGCATGACAAAGTGTTCATTATACAAATGCTAATTGAAACAATAATGAAATTCTAGGATGAGAAGAAGCTGGAACTCTCATATTCTGCTATTGGAAATATAAAATGGCACAACCACTTTAGAAGGTTTGGCAGTTTCTTGAAGTTAAGCAAACCCTTAGCACATGACTCAGCTGTTCTGTTGCTACTCCAAAGGCAGTGAAGGCATGTGTCTATACAGTCACTTAAAGGTAAATGTTCCTGGTTGCTGTGCACTTGTAATAGCTAGAAAGTTGAAATCGCCCCTTACTGAGATACCCCAGTTTCCCATGGTCAATATTTTCCTTTGCTACAACTCTGTCTAAAACGAGAAGGTATCTGGAAGGTATTTACCTAAATGAGATTTCCACTAGGAGTTAGTTGAAGTCCTGTGTTAGATGCCACTTAATAATAGTGAATACATGAGGCCTTGGGCCTCTACCTGTTCAAGGGGCCATGCTACTCAGGACTCAATGCACAACTCAACTTGGATGCTTGTTAAATCCTTTCAGTACTGGTTTTATTTCATTTTCCCAGGAATAAGATTGCTTGGGATTTATTTGTGTATCCAATCAGATTTGGGTTGCTTCTTGTTGAAATATTTTCCAGTCTTCTAACAGCTGCTATTGTGATTCTCTGCTCATCTGTGGTTTTACATGTTCTTTGTCTAGAAGATTATCAATCAATAGGGAGGAGAAGACATAGGCCTGATAAGTCTGCCTTCAAGCCAGGTCCTTAGCCTGAGGGGCTCAAGATTTCAGGGATCCTATGTCCAGTGTACTCTAGATATATGTTGCTCAAGTCTCCATATGAAAATCTCTTAAAGACTTTATCTTCAGTCTTTTGTGGCCCTGAAAACTGATTTGTTTCACTTTACTCACCCAGGATCAGTGGGTTACTTCTGTCTGGCTCTTGATTGCTGACAACTGTTGTTGTTGTTGTTTTTTTTATCAAATCCCAAAGATTTGAGATAAAGAGAAATAATGGAATTCTCACTTAATATTAAGAAAGCCCTCAGAATTCTTCCCACTTCTGTGAACCAAACTATTGCTATTGGCCTAGATAACAGCAAAGTATTTCCCTTGGATTCAGATGTTGCTTCTTCCTGAGTTCACAAGAGACATCCATGGGCACTAGGAAGGTGCTTCCAATCCTAGACTTTGCTACAGCAAATGTGACTGAATAATACTAGATACCATGTGATGCTTCCAGATGTGTCTCCATATACAAAATGCCTTCATAAAACCCAACTTTGACAGCTTCTGCAAGATTTATAACGTGGATAATCTTTTAGAAATGACACAGGAGAAAATCTACCCTTGAACATCCATAAAAAAGACCTTACTAAGTACTGCTAAAAGCTTTAAAAAAGTAAAACAAGTAGCTGGTCACTGGTGGTTCATGCTTGTAATCCTCAAATGGCTAAGATCTTAGGATTCTAGTTTAAAGTCAGCCTGGGCTGAAAAGCCCATGAGACATATCTGAGCAAGCAAAAAAAAAAAAAAAGAAGCAACAAGTGGAGGTGTGTTTCAAGTGATAAAGTGCTAGTTAACTTTGAATGAAAATGCCAAGTGAGAGCTTGAGACCCTAAGCTCAAGGCCTAGTCTCTAAGCTTAAGTCCCAGCACCAGTACACACAAAAAAGTAAAATAATGTGATGTCAACCCTTAGAATCATACTTTCCAATTAGAAAGAAGTATATCCTCTTCACCTGACTACAGGATGTCTACTTCATTGGCAAACCTCACGTGAGCTTCTTAGGATTTCTCCAGAAGCAGCAATAGCAGGGATGGACAGGGGCTGGCTGTTTAACACACAACCTACCACTTAAGAACTTGCTCTTTCTGCCTAAAACTAAGGAATACGATTAATTTTCTAATTTCAAGCACTTTTCTCTGCTCAGCCTTGCCTATGAGATCTTGTCAGCCTATATAACACTAATATGACCTATTTGCTTTGTTTGATGCCTTATAATTTCTCTGTGACACTTAAGAACAAAATTCTTGGAATCTTTCCCTTAGAAAAAAAGGATATCAGGCTGGGAAGGTGGCTCAGTGGTAGAGCGCTTGCCTTGCATGCATGAGGCCCTGGGTTCGATTCCCCAGCACCACATAAGCAAAAATTTAAAAAAGCCAGAAGTGGCGCTGTGGCTCAAGTGGTAGAGCGCTAGCCTTGAGCTGAAGAGCTGAGGGACAGCGCCCAAGCCCAGAATTCAGGCCCCACAACTGAACCTTCCCCCCCCCACACAAAAAAAGGATATCTATTACTCTATTAATTGCTTACTGTATCTGTAAGTCCTCTTTTTCCTACTTGCCAAAATTTATTTGTCTCTTGAAACTTCAAAAGTTTTCAGGTTTCCTTTGAGGAGCCACTTCCTGCTCAAGGAATTTGCTCACCTCAAGATACAAAAGACTGGCTTACCTTAATGTGCCAAGTGATACTCTCCATATAGAATCTGTACACATCTGCTTGTGAGCTAGGATAAATGGTAGAGACATCAGGGATAACAGCTTTGGTAGTACAAGGGTTTGAACACTTACTT